CTGGCGCCTCATTTGCAGAAGGGGCCGTCAGCCCTGCAAGATCACCAATCCCACCGGCCTCAGCATGCAGCGGGATGCTCGGAAGCGGCAACGGCAACTCAGGTGCCGGGACATCGACCACAGCTGCCTGCTCGGCCGGATTTGGCGCTCGGATCCTCCCTTGTGGGATCGTCTTCAAACCAAGTGAACCTAACTGGAAATTCCATGGTGCACCTGCAATCGCCTCGGCCAATGTTTAATGCGTGGACCACGGCTGGCCCGTGCGGCGCACGGATTTGGATAGCATGATTTCTGAGAGATTCCCACGACAAACATATCATTGACACCACTCTTGGTGAGAAACACTGCTTGCACCCACTTGGGGTTTCCTTTAGGGCGCTCGTACGAGGTCAAGCCACCTTTGACTTTGAACCCAGTGTATGTCCAAGATGCATGCACAAAGCTCCAGGCAAAAAGCGGATGGGACACCGGGATCGTGACCCATAGCGGTGCCTCGCCGCATCAAGGAAAACGTTGGCCAATGAACGGATGACATCTACGGCCTTCTCAGCAAGTCCATTCGCCTGATGGGCTCCTCTCGGAGGATTCCGAATCCCAGCGCATACACGGTTCCTAATCGCACCTAAGCTCAACTTCAAAATGTCCTAACAGTTGGCAAAACCGAACTAGTTCAATTGCGGCATGTTTCATGCTTGCAGCACTCTTGTCAGCCAACAGTATTGCAGCAATGGCATCTGTGTAATTGCAATGCACAACGAGGCACGTAAGCTTGTCTCTGTCACCCCCACGGTCATCGGGGCCACTTTCCAGCTTGCCTGTCGGATTATACCCGTGGAAAATCAAAACTGTGGGGTGCTCTCGTGCATTGCCTTCCGGCACAGCGCGACGTTGATCAGGGACACTCTTCATTGCAGCTGGCATACGGCAAATGCATGATTTCGGCGGGCCTCCTTACTAGGAGGCTCAGGCAGAAACTGCATGCGCGGCTTCCGTGCATCATCACCTTCGGCCTGTCGGGCCACCTCGACTTCTGAAGAGATTCGTTCTTTCTGCACATAACCTTGCAAGCGTTGAAAACACTTCCGTCCCGACTGTGACAAATCAGAAATTTGCAACCGGCACGCAAAGCTCTCTGAGTCGACTCCATCGACAATCCTACTCCATTTCACTGTGATCACTGAATCTTGCTCTGCATGCACAGCTGAACCCGGCTCCACCGTGTCGGGAAGTGGCACAGATGCCACGGCTTCATGTTCCGGCGGATCGGACTGACCTGGCACTTCAGGCATCTCTTCATTGGCATCTTGCAATTCTAAATCAGCCTGCGGTCCGCTGTCGTTCACATGCTCAGACAGTCCAGACTCGAGCTCCGAAGTCGCCTGGCTCTTCTTGATTCATGCTGAGCACAGTGATGCAGTCGCACATACCGCATGGAAGCAGCAACGGAATCCTTGAGCTCTAGCCACTCAACACACCACTCAAGCATGTGCCAGCCTGCACCGGCATTCATCAAAGTGGTGCGATGCGGCCACACGATCGGCACAAGTGTGGATCAATCAGTTCTTCCCGCCACACAAAATGACCTGTGCTCTCTAAGGTCTGCCAGCCGAATGCAGCATCAACCAATTGCTGGGACGCGCGCTTGTAGCACGCACATGTGGATCCCTCTCGGCATGTGGATCTCTCTCGGCATCTGGTCTGGATCTCTCTCGGCATCCGGATCTCAGGCATCCGGCTCTCGCGCATCTGGCTTCTCGCCAGTCACTGACTCAGCATCTTCACCGTCTACTCGCGCAAAGTGGCATGAACCATAAGACTATTTCCCCGAAAATCAATTGGAACCATAACTCCGCTCTCCTAATGCTGCAAAAACATTCCCAAATCGTGTATTTCTTATTCAAATGAAGCGTCTGCCGTCTGCGAAAATGAGCTAGTTCACAAGCTTTATTGACGACAGCCAGCTCACAACTACACTGAAGCTACAGCGAGGCTCTCTTTTGACTGGTGGTGCAACGGCTGAAGCAGTGCAAGCTATGCTGAAGCAAAGCAAGCAGTGTGAAGCTGTTGTCGAAAAGCCTTGTGATGCCAAACCTGCAGAACAGGAAAGAAGCAAAGTAAAGTAGAATGTAAGCCATAGCAAAGCAACATATGAAAAGCTGCAAAAGTATCAACTATCATCACTCAGGAATGGCAAAGGATCGACCTTGCAATCCGAATCAGGGAGCGGAGGGTGGGTGCAAAATTTAGCAAGCATGCTAAGCGAAGCTTTTGTTGAGCTGGCTGTCGAGCTTGATACCGAAAGCAGCGCGGGATCAACAAGCTGCGAAATAAAGCTGGAAACAAAACTGAGTAAACACAGGTATCGTTCACAAGCTTTATTTACGACAGCCAGCTCACAACTCACTGAAGCTACAGCAAGGCTCTCTTTTGACTGTTCTGAACTGCTTACTGGCAGAGCACATGTCCAGATCTCAACATGTGTCTTCGGAACAAAGCTAACACTCAAAGGGCTGCTCATGTACTTAGTGGCCCTCGCGGAGAAGCAGTCCATTGGTCTGGCCTTGGATATCGCTATGATGGCATCATGGAACAGCGTCCGTTACTTTGACCATTTGCTCGGATCTTGGAATGTCTTTTTGCTCGAGCTCCGTTACAGAGGTGGGGGGTCAAGGATTTTTGTGACGCCTAACGATGCTAACTATCAGAAAGCGAAATGCTTCGTTCCGGCATTGTGCGTGTCGGCGATGTGCCTTGTCCAGGTCGCCTTTCTCCGCCCATCGCTGTGGAGAACTTGTCAGTCTCTCTCCCAGTGAGGCGCTTCTGTATCTCAATCGCCTGTCGGCAGTTGGAGCAAGAGGTCTGGTAGTCGTGTTTTTGTGTCCTCCTGGTGCTGGCTACAATGTGTGTGGGCATCGCATCGCGGTGCAGGCTGGACGGAAAATGCCAAGCATCAGGGTGTTTGAACTACCAACCACTGAAGCATGGATTGGAAGAGCAACCGCGTCGAGCCAATGCGGGTACCGGTGCTGCGCACCGGGTGTTGCTGAGGGTCGTCTTTCTCGGCTTTCATCCACTTACCCAGCCTCCCTCCGCCCGGCAAGTCGTCCAAAGCATTTGTACAAGTTTTTCTTTGGTCACCGTCATGAACTAGGTGTCTTCGTTGACCTCTTCACCACTACGTGTGTGCTGGCACCACAGGGGCTGTGAATATCTGCTTTGTCGACAAGGCTTGCGTTCACCAATGACAGGAGAGGATGCCCACCAAAGAGTCACGGCAGGCGGGCCACGGACCCTCTTATCATCGCGTCTCCATCCCATTGGTGGGCATCCCTGCGGCCCTTGGCGCACCTGGAATCGCAGTTCCCGCGCGAGGACAAGAACACGGCCCAGAAGTTTACCAGCGGTGGTCTGTCAACCGAATACCGCCATTATGCGGCACTTGCGCACTAGTGGCAGAAAGCGGTTTGTCTGAATTCCAGTTGCTCCCGATGGCCAGCCTACACGAGTTCGCCCCTTTTACTCCGTGCTTGACCAAGACTCCCATTTGCGGCTTGGTGGAATTTACGGACCCGCCACGCTTCAGCCTCCAACGTTTGCGCGCACACAAGGGGGGCCTGCAGTCGCCCAAGCGCGCCTATGCCGCCTTCCGTTCCCCGCATCAGTCGTCTCTCACACCCTCATATCCTGCAGCTGCATTGCTCTGGCGTATCGAAACACTCCGGAGGATCTCCAATACTCTGTCCCACTTTGCCAAAGCTTGCTGCAACAGGTAAAAAAGACGTGCACTTCTTCCCGCAGTGTCACTGGGCAAAGTAACTTGCTGGATCTCACCGCAACAAACAAGCACTGCCTTAGCTCGCCAACAAAGGCGTCATCGGTCAATGCTAGCCAGCTGGACAGCACTTCCAGAAAGCGGTGTCAAGCTCGCGAATCCGGCCTTGCTTCATCTCACCAGCATTGATGAGAGGCAGGGGTGGCAGATACTTCTCTGCACAACCACCAAAACTCGAAAAGCTTCCAGAACTCGCAGCAGGCCCACTCGGAGAGGCAACAAGCGACCCAGTAGGCGCCGTCGGCGCTGCTCCAGAACTGCTAGCAGCCACTGCAGCTGCAAAGGGGTCCGAAGACACCTTTCGCCGATCCTCGTCGGCTTTCCGTCTGGCTTCTTCCTCGTCCAAACGGCGGTTCATGATCGGAGCACGTCACGATTGACACAAGCACAACAGTGTGTCAGGGGTCAGGAGGCTGGAGGGGTGCTAGCTGCCTCGGTCCCTGGTGTGTTCTATCTTTACTCCATTGCTTCTGACACGATCGACAAGCATCTCGGCTCATCCGAAAGACAGTCTGCGGCCAATCGTGCCGTTGTGGTGGTTTCTTTCTGTGTCTTCGGTTTTCCGGTTTCGGGCGTGGGGCGGCTGCTTGTTTGTTCGGGGACTTGGGGCTGATGCCCCCATGGCCGTTGCTTTTGCGATGGAACAGTGCCCGTTACATGGCAGCAACAAGATTTCCAGAGTGGCCTGGTGGAACTAAGCGTTCACTGATCTGGCTATGGAGTATGCTTGCCTTAAGTGGAGACCTCTGCCCATTGCTGCTGAAACAGCCCTACAAAATCTGTATGGTGTCAGCTGGCTCCGAGATGCTCCGTACATCATCTGGATGGATGCATGGCGGCTGCTTTCACCCTGCCAACGACCCTCATACATACAGCAAACATATGTCGACGCTGACTTTGCGCTCAGCTTATGATGCATGCATTGCTGTTTTGAGGACTTGGAAGCAATGGACCGAAGTCTTCTTGCCCTGGACCAGGATACACTGAGGACCCTGGAAGGTGCTCGCCGACTCGGGCGACGCACTCCCTCCTGCCTGCCTATGGCCTGGCTGTATGCTGCAGTTTGTTCTGTCACAGACTTCTACACGCTTTTGCTGCTCACTGTATGTCTGGCTCATGCTCGCATAGACTGGTCTCACGGCCCTGCTTTCAGTACCGGCTCCTGTGTATGGCGACCTCGAAGATGGACTCGACGACGACACATGCTGCCCACACGGCCGAGGACACTCCCTGCAACTCCAGGATCAAACCCACCCGGGCGCCGGACACTGAGCCCAGCATCCGTGAGCGCTGGAATAATGGAGTTGCTGGAGTCAAGGGCTACCCCACAAGCAATCCAGTCTTCTTTCCCAAAGGACCTCCGCCACCTCCTGGTGCTGATTTGTTGGCTATCCTTCAAGGAACTGACTCTGAGGAATCGGGAGAGGAGCTTCTGGTTGCCTTGGCCAGCACTACGGCTGTTCCCCGAGAATCCCCTCAGGAGCCTGATCCAGACTTTGACCTGGACCAACCAGTCGGCGATGGGGCCTACCAACCTACATGGAATGAGCTGGTACTGGCATGCCTTTCTCCGCCACTCAAAGCTGCCCCCACTCCAGTTCCCCCAGCTGTGGAGGAGACAGACTCCTTGCCTGAACATCCGGAGTCTGAGCCTGGCACCCCGGCTGCCGATCCAGTTCTGGATGATCCGATGGGGGGCACGTCTGATGAAGGCTTCATGCCACTACTTGACTCGGATGCTGAATTCAGCTCCACGTCGGATTTTACAGACAGCAGCCTCTTTGATGCATAGTGCCCTGGGCTGCTTAGGGGACCTTCCGCCTGAGCCACAGTGTGTGCACTCCCTGAAAAGAAGTACACGGCTCATATGGTGCTGTCGGCGATTCGCCTGCACTACCTGTACCACCAACTACTGCTCTATGGCTGCCAGGTGTTCTACTTCCACATGGTTACGACCTTGGCGGGTGGCACTCTCAGACCTTCACCTCGGCAACCAGTGCAGTTGTGGCGTAACCGACAAAGCCATGACCCAGACACAACCATCACGACCTCGGCCACTACGTCTGCTCGAGGAAGCCGCGTGGGTCCCAAGTCCCACGGTAGTTGTCGCCAGCTCTGTTGCAGCCCCAAACTTTCCCTCCCCTTTTGGCTGCTTGTTCTCTTCTGTTGCATCATCAATAGCAGAGCGACACCTACAGATGCGAGGGTTGCACCTGTAGTCCTGACGGGTGCTGGAACCTTGGACTCTGTCCAAGGTGAAGCTCAAGGACGAACCGCGTTCCATGTTGATCGCTATACATATGTTTCACCACCAGGCCTGACACCATCTTCACGCTCCAAGCATGCCATATACGTTCGCAAACGTGCCTTTGCCCGTGCAGTGCAACGTGCCTCTCAGGCCCCAGATGGCAGTACTACTTACCGAGGACGACGGGTGATGCTCAGTGGCCACAATCACTTGATTCGTACAGCTCTGCAACGTCCGTCCTCCTCGACCACAGGAACCCCGGGACGGCGTTCTACGAGGGCTCGACTTCGGGTGCTTACGCTCAATGTGGGGGGCTTGGACAGTACCACATACGATACATTCATGCAGTGGCTTCCCCGTGCTCCTTATGACATTGTTTGCCTGCAAGAGATACATCATGGTCTAGGGAAGGAGTCTACACAGTGGCGATCATCTGGCTGGAGCTTTATCACCTCGGTGGACCCCAAGACTGCATTCCAAGGTGTGGCTGTTCTACTTCGGGAGACCCTTTGCACCACAGGCGAGGTACATTTTCAGGAAGCCCACACTGGTCGGTTATTACACGTACGGCTAGCTCAGGACCTTCACTCCATCGACATTGTCTGCGGATACCAGTTTGCGCTGCACCAGGAGGCCGACAACAATAACCTTATGCATCGGCACAAGTACTGGGATCGATTGGGTGCCCTGCTTCACAATCTGCCCCAACGAAACCTCCTCATACTTGCTGGTGATATGAACTGCACGCCAGAGTTTGTTGAGGGCTCCATGGGCATGCCTACGATGCTTCCACCAAGTATCCGGACTCTGGAGAGTTTGCGGCCCTGCTGGAGGCCCACGGACTCATTTTGCTCAATGGCTGGGTTCGCCAACGCCTGCAACCCACCTTTGTAGGCGCCAAGCACAAGTCGGTGATAGACTTTGTCATCACTCGCAGGCAACATGCAGATTCCCTGGCCAGGCGGGCTAAACCCTGCCCGGAGCACAACTTCAGTCCATGGCGTATGGGGGGCAGGCACTATGCTGTGGTCACCAGCCTCCCTCTGCATCCAGGTTGGACCCGTCAGTCTTCTCGGTCTCCTCTGCCTCAGCTCAAGTACAATAAGCAAGAACTTGATCAAGAGGCTCGCGAGGGTGGACCACGGATGCTCCAACTTCGACACAATCTTCAGAAGTATATTGCTCAGCATGAGGCTCCCACACTGGAGCAAGTAAATGATTTCCTGCTGCAACAGGTCATCACTGCTTTTCCGCACAAGTCTGCATCGCCAGCTCCCCGGGCGTGGCAAACACAACTGGTGCAGGGCTCAGTCACTGCCATGTGGCAGGCTCGAGCTAGACTCCGACAAGTCCAGCAGCGACACTGCCGGGCACTCCGAGCATGCATGGAGGCCTTCAAACGACATCGCGAGTTTATGAAGGCATATAAGCAGCTGAAGCTCAACGGTCGCCAGGCTCGGAAGACTTTACTCAACAGGGAGCTCCAGAATGCTGCAGAGGCAGCTCACAGGCGGGACGTTGGGCAACTGCATCGGATCATTCGCCGACTTGCCCCAAAGGTGAAACGCGATACTGTGCGTATTCATGGTCCCCAGGGAGAGATGCTTAGAGGCTTAGAGATGCTGACGAGCACCGCACCATTGTCCGGCACTTTGAAGAACTCTTCCAGTCCCGTACGGTGGCCATCTCGTTTCCTACTACACCTGCTGTGCCCCCACAGGTGGCTGTCAAGGATGTGGCTCTTGCTCTTCGCTCCACACAGTATGGCAAGGCGGTGCCTGAGACTTCCGCACCCTCCAGTGTCGTGAAGTACTGTGCAGATGACTTGGCCCAGGCCCTTGCACCCTCGGTGAACGCCTGTCTGAGAGGGGCCTGTACTCCACCCTTGCTTGCTGATTGTTTGCTGACCCTAATCCCTAAGCCGCTCAAGCCTGCCAAACGGCCCGAAAATTTAAGACCATTGGGGCTACAAGATTGCCATGCTAAGGCTTACGCTAGGCTGATCAAACAGCTTCTCCTCACTGAGGTAGGACCCACCCTAGAGAAACTTCCCGTCTTTGCATATATCTCTGGCAGAAGCACGGACGATGCAGTGGCAAGGGTGATTTCTCATTGCACTTCTGTTCGTCAAGCACATCAACAGCAGCGCTCTTCAGTGCACACGTACCGACAGAAGTGCATCCGTGCCTCGGTGTCTGGGGGCCTGCAACTGGCCATAGATCTTTCAACAGCTTTTGATTTAGTACCTCGAGCCACACTTCAACAAGCATTGGAATGGGCTGGTGCCAGTGAGCCTCTTGTAGCTGCCATTCTGGATCTGCATTCTGTTTGTCGATACACAATCAGACATAAAGGCCATACCTCCTTGATACATATGCGAAGGGGAGTCAGACAGGGATGTACACTGGCTCCTCTCCTCTGGCTGGTCTTTAGTGCTTACATGACATCTCGGATTGCTCTTCAACTTCCAGCAGAGTGGGTACAAGAACATTTGACCCTGTATGCGGATGACACCCATGCCAGCTTTGACACTGACAGCATTGCAGATATCAAATTTGCATTTCGCGCCATTCAAATTATCTTCGAGGTCTATAAGAGCCATGGCATGAAAGTCAATCCAAACAAGTCTGGTATAGTGCTGGGCGTCCGAGGGCATGCTGCTAGGGAGTTCCTGCAACAACACATTCAAGGTAAGGATGAAGACAGTTGCCTGGTTTTGGGTATCGGCCCTTCCACCTTGAAGATACCTATCAAGAAGTCCATGCTGTATCTTGGAGTATGCGTGTCATATGGGAATTTCGAGCTTGAAACACTGGAGCATCGCCTGAAAGCTGCCCAAGCGACCAGATGCCGCTTAGCCAAAGTTTTGAGTGCTCGTAAATACCTTACGCTGGCACAAAGACTGCACCTCTACGTCCTCTGTGTAAGGTCGGCGGCCCTCTATGGTTTAGGCCCGGTAGGCTTTACCTCGGCTAGTCTTCGCAAGTTGCAGATTTTCGAAACTAAGCACATCAGGGCTATAGCTCGATCGCCTGTACATCTTAGCAGAGAATCCACGACCGCCCTGTATGCCAGACTTCAGCTGAAGCCAGCTGCTCAGCAGCTGCTAAAGATCTTGAAGGGGAGACTCCAGCAACCTGAGGGGACTACTACCCCCTCAACTGGCCATCATGGCTGGGTTCATGAACGGTATCAGCACCTACAAGATCTTTTGCATCTTCACTCGGCTGGTTTGCAGGAGGCTCCCAGTGTACAAGAAGTTGCTTGCCCTACCTGTGGTCAATACTTCGGCACGCTTAAAGATATGCGAGTTCATCATGCCACCACCCACCAGCGGCCCCTACAACCTAGACCCACAGGACCTGCCTCCACCCTGCATTATGTACGTATCCAGGACCATTTCTTGGGCAACATGCCGGTGTGCAGGCACTGCAAACAGAAACTGCATAACTGGCACAACTTTCGCTTGCACATAGTGGCTAGTTGTCCTGTTCTGCACGCTGGTTTGTCTGGCAATTCTTCCGAGCTTGCTTTGCGGGACACTGCGGAGCTCGAGACATCAGTGCCTGCTTTGCAGTCCGCTGCGGGGCCTGAGCTTCCTGTAGAGATGGAGACATTTGTTCCCATTGCTGAACGTGCAGATTTTCTGAGACTCATTGACACCAGCGAGTGGAAGCATGCACTTTGGCTTGAAGGGGTTCGTGAGCAGCTTCGCAATCACTGCATTTTGTGTGCTCAGTGGGTCTCCTCTGCACCTGGGGCTCTCAACAAGCATATGTTTTCCTTGCATCCAGAGATTGTGCGATACAAACCAGACGCAGTGGCTCACAGCTTGACGCTGCGGGACGGGCAACAACGCCCTTGTGGTGCCTGTGGAGCACGGCCCTTACACAAAACCAAGCACAAATGCCGAGTTCTCTATCAACTCTGTCTTCTACGACACTCTCGGTTGCAGGTCCTTTCAGCCTCTTCACTGCCTCCTGGTCGCCATGGACACCCAGAGTGGAGCCGAAGCCCTGGCACAAGTTCAGAATATGTTCCCTCACCTGGCACCGTCGACTACAGCAGGAGATGCCCCGATGGACAGTGCACCACTGACAGGTCGGAGAGAGAGGGAGGAGGACAAGGCCGAAGCTCCAACGGAGCCCCAGGACAAGTATCGGCGTCCAGCGGGCAAAGGTCAGAACCTTTGTACGGGAAAGAGCCCACCTCGGGAAACCACCCAGGAGCCTGCCTCGGCCTCAGCTGGACAAACCAAGCAGGGGCGAACTCGCCAATGGTCGGACCAGGAATGGGCGGACTGGCAGGCTCAGACCACCCAAGCCGGGTGGAACAAGAACAAGACCACCAAGGAGCTGCAAAAGGAGCTGGAAGCTCTGAAGGAGGATGTTCGCCTTCTGTCTCGCATAGCCATGCGACACGAGGACGAACTGAGCCAGCGTCGGACGGAGACCGACTTTATCCTGACCCTGGAGGTTGCAGATCCCAAGGCTACCCAGGCGCAGGAGGGCATCTTGGAGCAACTCTACAAACAGGAGGAGGGCAAGGCCAACAGCTCCTTACGGCTTACTTTGTTCATAGGCCTGCTGCTGTACTACGAGATCAAGGTCCAGGAAGCGACGGCCTCGGCGGAGTCAGTGGAGAACCTCGCCCAACAAGGCCTGCTGATTCAGGTAGAGGGCAATCCGGCCTGGACCTACCGACAATGGGATCACCAGCAGGCCCTGATTCGGTCCGATCAGCCTCCTCTCCTGGACACGGAGCTCCGAGGCCACCTGCAGAGAGGTAGCCTGCATGCCTGGAGACAGCTTCAAGTTTCTTAAAAGAGAGCACATAATTCTTGATGATGGGATCTTGATAAAGCCACTTGCGGACCATGCTGTGAATATGGCAAACCTTCTTGATGTGCCGTTGCATCGAAAGTTCCCTACGCCGTGCACCAAGGAGCTTCTCATGCCGGATGCAAGCAAGGAGCTGGACTCTGCTCGAGCAGCCAAGTACCGCAGCGCCGTTGGGATAGGCATGTATGTGTCACAGGATCGGAGTGACATTGCTTTCACGGTGAGGGTGTTAGCCCAGAACCTTAAAGCACCGACCGAGCGCGGCTGGCAGTTTGCGCAACGCCTTGCAGGGTATCTTGTTGGAACGGCCGGCTACGCAAGCAAGGTGCATGCCAAGGGCGATCGAGCAAGCATTCTTGAGCCACCTGATGCCGAGGAGTGTCTTGATGGCGTTCGGCTAGAGGTGTTCTGTGATGCAGACTGGAGCGGCAACAAGCAGACTCGCCGGTCGATGAGCAGCAGCTCGTTCTTTTTGAACAGCTGCTGCGTCTATACTTCCTGTAAGAGCCAACGCTGCGTAAGCCTCAGTAGTGCGGAAAGCGAATTTTACGCCCTGGTATCCGCGGCGTGCGACGGCGTCTACCTGAAAAGAGTTCTTGAATACCTGCTTGAACTACCGGTAGATCTTTTGATGAGGACTGATAACAGCTCCTGTCGCCAGATATCTTTGAAGCAGGGTGTATCAAAGATCAGGCATCTTGATGGAAGGTTTCTCTGGATACAGGAGAAGACAGCCGATCGCACACTCCGCGTGCAGCCGGTCGATGGGAGGAGGAACCCATCGGATCTGGGAACCAAGGTGCCGTGCTCAGGATCCCGCCTACGTGCTTTGTTGTGCATGCATGACTTTGTGTGCTGTGCGGGTGACTGCATAGAGGAGGTAGGCCGTGCAGAGCATGATGCGTTGTTGGAGCAGTTGCAGCGCGAGCGTGAAACACAGAGGGTTCGCAGACTTGTGTGTAAGACGCTGAAGAGCAACGGGATGCAGAGCTTCAGCACTGCAATGATGGTGATGATGCTGTCGCTTGTGCAAGGTGCCGAGAGCAGTGGTACCAGGCGTGAAGTCGGTGTGCAAACCGATGATGATGCACGGTGGGCGCAGTCGCTGGCCGTCTTGGTGATTTGCACATGTGCTATCCTTCTTGCCTTGAAATCTTTGAGCCTTGGGCGGCTATGGACCACAGAGGGCAATGAAGATGACATCACCTTGAACGTGAGCAATGCCAGCACCTCCACCGAGGAAGTGTACGAGCAGGGAACCGACGGTTGGTGGAATTGGGTTCCATTGACTTTCACCTGCAGCCTTTCAGCGTTCTGCCTGGCAATCATGATGTGCCTGCGACGGGTGCGAGCCGCACTGCATGCCGCTGAGCAGGAGAACGAGCGCTTGAGCAGATTGATCGCTGAAATGAACTACGACCGTATCGCTTGGGGAGAATACCACGAGGCGAAAGATCGAACAAGAGAGAGAACGCTGCCAATGCCAGAGCCGAACCGTGCTATCTTCATAGATGGCGATGCCGCACGCGGTTCCAACGATGTGATCCAGCATGTGCCTGAGTTGCATGTTTATTGCACTTTGAGACGAGGCAAGTCGTACCACAAAAGCAGGAATTGCACTTGTCTGAACAATGCTGATGAGATCGTGAAGCTTGGAATCGCCACAGCCCGTGAGCGCGGTTACAAGCCGTGCGGAAGTTGCTTTGGTGGCAGCAAGAAACAAAAGTGATGATCCTTGGATTGCGTGTCGCAACACACTTGTGTCTTGAATGCTCATGATGCTGATGCATTGGCCATCTGTACATAGTCAGTGGCACTACCTTTGTGTGTGTGTCATTGACGACCAGCGACGATTGTGCATAGCTTCAGAGAACCACCTGTGAATCATTCTTGACCTTGATGTGTGAACCATCCTTGGAGCGTGCAAGACTGTGCACGATACACCATTTTGGTGTCAATCTAGTTATGTCTGAACAACGATTGTGTTGACCGTGGAGCGGTCATGACTCCGAAAGAAAGTCTCGTGATGAGCTTTCAGCGGTAACTAGGCCGCTATAATCCCGGGCATCAATGCTAAGCATGATGCATGATCCGCCATGAATTGTTTGGTTCTTGACAGGAGCGCTTGAACTTGCAACGCCTACGCTTGGGTGAGTCAAGCTTGCATTTCGTCATAGGCTGTCCGAGCCTTTGATGGAGTGCGCGTAGTGTATAGACGACTTTAGATCGTAGCTACGCTGACTTGTTGAGCCGTGTACTGTAGTAAGAAGTGGTCGCTACTGTGATGTATCGTACGCTGTATGTTGATGCGAACATCTTCCAGTCTAAGTCACTGGGGATGTCCGGGCGGGGTGATCAACATTTTCCCCTATGCCCTGTACTCTTATTTTGCTAGAACAGTTTTGGTAGCTTTTGACCACTCGTGTAGTTTTCTCGGAGAGCATGCGAAGCATGTGTGATCGTCGTGACTTTCAGGCTCAGAGTACTTACAAAAGTCCGAAGTTTGTTCATTTCCAGCAATGCAGTTGCTTGTCCGTTTTCATCTTCGATCCAGACTCGACCTTGCATGAAATTACCCAAAGTGATAGCGTGGTTCGCATGCCCTATCATGTTCAGGATGTCTCGATGCAACGGCATTGACGGATTGTACAGCACAGCGATGGAAGTCCATGTTTGATTCGGAAAGCGCTCTCTGAGAAAATGGTTGACGGCGATGCACGCTTTTTTCATTTGAGAAGCTCTCGAAATGCCAAAGACACCGCCGTGTCCAAAGAAGCCGAGAGTGCTGTATTTTTCATAAGCATGCGGACCGATGGCTCGAGTGCGGCCACGATGCTTCCAGCGCCCAGCGCGTTGACCATTTGTCGAGCAGCGCGACCAAGTTATGTTCGGATGCTCGGTTCATGACAGCCTCGCATGCAAAGTCGAGCTCGGTGTCGTCTTCTTTTTTTTGAGACATGCGAGACACGTATGCACGCCATGACAATCTGAATCGCCGCCCCGCCTTTTTTGTTCGTCTCGGTTCTGGAAACCGTAGAAGCTCCCCGTCGCTGCCCCGCACGGTGTTGGCCTCGATGAAGAAGTTGGCAGAGCCCGCCGAGATGGTTTGGTTCAGGGTCAGCCTGGTTGTTGGCGTCCAGCAGCACGGCGGTCTCGCCCGTCGCCTGTGGCATTCCCCGTTGGCTGCTGTCTCGTCCGCCGTGGTGGCTAAAGCGGCTCCCCTCCACTGCTGCCGCCTGCCGTGCCACCGTCTCCACGACGACTGCGTCGTAATTGCCGCGCCGCTCTGCTACACGGTTGCACTGCCGTGCCGATGTGTTGTGCTGCGCCTGCCGCTGCCGTTACTGCCTACTGTCGCACTGCTCCTCCGCGCCGCTCAGTTACGCTACTTCCGCGCCGCTCCGCTACTTCCGCGCCTGCTGCCGCACCGCGTCGCTCCGCTGCGGCCGCGTCGCTCAGCTGCTGCTGTCCTACTCCCCCCCCAACCGCTTTGCTACTGCCGCGCCGCTCCTCTACACTGCCGCGTTGCTCCGCTCCGCGCCGCTCCGCATCACTCTGCTACATGCTGCCAGCTCTGCACCGCGCCGCCTCGCTGCTGCCGCGCTGCTTCGCTGCTGCCGCGCCGCTTCGCTACTGCCACTCCACAGCGCGTCCTCCTCTCGGATGCGCTTGAACCAATCGCTGTTGGGCTTGGAGCATTCCAGGAAAACATGCTCGGCATCATGTACTGTGGGTACATGTTTGTTGCAACATCCTTGCTTTCTGTGTATTGCCCCCTGCTGCACCGCCCCCTCCGTCAGTACGGTGCAGTCCGCCTGGACGTTGACGTCATGGGGGAGCTCAAGGAGTCAAGAGCGTGTCACCATCATGATTCGCATGATGGTCTGTGTCGTCACTGTCACCTTCTTGCTTCGCAGTGAGAGAGTCTCCCATCTAGCGTGGGCTACAGTGTGGCTTACATTGCACACACCGGCCAGTTATGTGGCTTGCACGTATGCTCGTTGAGCGGCCGCTTGCTGTTGAAGCAGCAGGATCCACTGTACATGTGTCTAAGAGAGAAAGAATTTCCGCAGATCACATCAGTCAGGGCTCGCTGCTCTAAAGTACTTCCGTAACCCGTGACTGGTAGCTGAGCGATTGGATTGACCAGCTAGTCGTCCAGGGTGTTCAGATCGATTTGTCGCGGCTGAACTCGATGACACTTGTTGCGACTGGCCTTGGCTGTCTGGTTGTAGTAGTACGTGTTCTGATTGCGAATCAGCCTTTCGATCTGATACTGTAGTGAGTCGTGGCGCTGCTGAAGAATATGGAAGTCCTGTGTGAGCTGATGGATCAGTTGTTCTTGTAAATACATTTGGCTTGCCACCCATTCCTCTCCGTGCAGGTCGATGTATCGTAGCCAGAGTCGTGCCATGACTGCTGGATCCTAGTGTATCCTCCTCCGTGGGAGATGTCCTAGGGGTAGCCCTAATGTCCAAACTTTCAGCTGGGGTAGCGACGGGCATGGAGGACTCGCTGTGAAAGGTTTGCACAAGTGAGGGCTCAGTGCACACTGCCGCAACAACATACATGTCGCGACTGACTGCTGCAGTACTCTTGTCATCAAGCAATGCCGGCGCTTTCGCATCATCCAAGCTGAGAAGGCCCCGCTCAGAAGGGAGGACCGTCGTGTAATGACCTGATGAGGCCGTGCGGCCATGATGGCGTATGATCGCTACAGTGCGGTACGGAACCCACCTGATCGCCAAGCTGTGCTCGTCAAGAAAGAGAGGTACCCGAAGATCCGTTGGGATGTTGAACCACTGCTTGGTTTTGTTAACAACCCCACACCTGTATCGAAATCTGGGAAGCTGCAGAAAAAGCCATGGCATCGGTTGTGCCATCGCCTGGCAATGCTCTTGGGCTGACCAGAAGTTGATAAGGCTTTGCACATTGGGGCAGTGCTTAGGGGGGCAAATGAGGCCTATACATTTAGAGAGGGATGTGCCGAGAGTGATGCTGATGTGATCGTCATCATCATCGGCCTGCCATCTTCCTTGCCAAACCCCGGCAGACAAAGACCTGGGCAACAATTGCCAGTGAAGAAAATCAATGAATTCGACAGTGTCATGTTGCTGCTCAGGGTCCCGCCACCCCAAAGTAAGAAACCCCAGGAGCCGAAAGACTCCTCCCCGTCGCTGACCTTGTAGCTTCATGTATGTGGGTGGCATGTGTGATTGTAGGCCAAGCATGCGCACTGCAATATCAAGAGCATAGAGAAAAGCAATGGCATAGCAGTGATTGCCCGGATTCTGCAAGCTAAAGGAGGGCGGCTGACATTTGCTGAGAGTCAGGCTGAATCGCTCTCCGTCTGAGCTCGGGAAGCTCAGTGGCCGTACACCAGCTGGGCCAGCTGATCCGCCAGGGGAGACCGTTTCAAGGTGCCCCGTTTGAGTGAAATGCCCAACAGCTGCCAAAGGGAGCTGCCGATCAGTGTACACAAGGTCTGATGCATCTCGTTGGATGCTCTCCTCGTAGAGAAATCTCGAGGATGAACGTGGCTTGGGGCTTCGGGCCTGCAGTGGCCTCCAGCACCTTCAACGATTGCGTGGAGTTGAACTTCTGTACGATTTCTCCGCGCATGTGCTCCAGCATGAAGGAAATTTGACGCACAGCCTCTTGGTGGTTCATGCACTCCTTCTTTAGATCCCTCACCAATTTCTTGGTTTTGTGACAGAACCTGAGGAAGGTCCACTCGCCCTTCTCGTCCATCCAGCCCGCAGCCTGAAGCTTTCCTTGGCCTTCCGTTGTGGAGGCCATCTTCTGCACTCGTGCTAAAAGCTCCTTGAGCAAGCAAGCCATCAACACGGTCCTCAAGGGGGACTGTTGCACCGTCTCCGTTTGATCCGTGGCATCCTGTTGATGATTCTTGCTGTGCCATTGCTGGGAGATGGAGTGAAGATTGGGAATGATGCTTGCATAATCCTGTCTCAGAAACATAATGAACACCTTGTCGACCCGTTGGGCTGCCAGCATTTCCTCGTGCTGAAGCATGAGCTTTGCCATCAGACGAACTTGAGGGTCCATGGTCGATGGCTGATGAAATGGATAGTAGCCTCCCCCTCGCGGTCCCTTCGGATGGAAGGGTGCTTGGGGCGGTCGATTCGGATGCCGGCTTCTGTTCACAAACAGAGGGCTGGGCTCCGGGCGTGGTCGCTTGGGCTGCTGGTTGCTCTCTGAGCTCTCGGGTGCCGCTTCGCTCACTAAGGCCAGGGGCGTCGACGACTTTAGCAACAGAGACAGAGAAGGATCGCAAAAGGCGAAGATGTCCACCTCCGGATTGAGTCCCACACTCTCCGGCACAGTCCTGGGACCATTGGTAGCGGAGCTTGGCAACACATAATTGGTATAGCACTACGCATTGTTGGGAGTGACGGCCTGGGGCCCCCACATTGCCTTTACACCAGGGGCACGATCTATCCCGGACAAGCTGGCTTTTAAAGCTGTGGCAGAGTTTCAGGGCCGCTTCATGAAGACCAGGCGTCTCAGCATCATGTATTCTGCGAATGTGTTGCTTAATGTGCGAGGACTTAGCTATCCACATGTGGCAAATGCTGCAATGAGCCATGAGGTCAGCCTTCAGTGTGGGATCACGCAGTAGCCTCTCCCAGTCATGCTGCAAGTTATGAAAGAGCAAACGATCAACCAAGGGCAGGTTTTGCTGCACTCCAACAGCCGTGTCTGCAGGAAGGCCCGGCGGCGGGCTTGGCAGCGAGCTCGCTGCAGCCTGTTCGTCAGGATTCTTGGGAGGATGCTTGATAAAGCTGTCACCTCCGAGCTTCTCGCAGGCTCCACTTTCAATGTGGTGTCGAAGATTCTGCCACCGATAAAAAGTCCTGAGACACAGTTGGCAGCGTGGCAGGCCACCACAGGCGTGCAAGCTTGGCACAAACTTGGTGGCGTACATGCCACTCTTGGTGGCAGGAAGGCGTGCTTAACCTGGCAGTGCAGTCTCATCGCATGTTCAGTGGTGAACATATCGTCACACTCTGGGCACGGAATCTGTGGCTCAGTGCCTTCTGCCGGTTCATCAGCTTTTCGCTCCTGCTCGCTTGCAAGGATTTGCAGCGAGTCTTCCAGTCTTTGCAGGTGAGCAAAGATCTGGGGTTGTGTAGTTATGTCAGGGGACGATTGTGCCTTGCTGTGCAGTACCTGGTGGAACTGCCGCAGGGCTGTCAGCAGCGCGGTGCCAGGCATATCGAGACGAGCCTGCTGCCAGATCACACTGCTTGGCACATGAGTGAGATGAGCAGGTTGCTTCTGTATGGCTCGTAAGTGTCTGGTGCAGGCACTGGTGAGTTTGGAAAGTCCATCTCTGGTGATGCCAACAGCCGGCAGCGAATAATACGCACTTGTGGAAACACATGCTCTCCACAAACGGTGTCTGTGCGGCAGGCTGAGTTGGTGGTGGCCGTTTAGGGGTTTTCGAAGGGCTTGGTACTTGGCTTGTCCCGACTTAAGCCTATGACTAAGATTTTCATTCAGTCTGTGCTTGTAAGTGACTTTAGTGCCAAGATACTCGTGAGCCTCTTTGATGGGAATAAGCTGTTCTTGACCCTGAACTTTGATGATGAGATATCTAGTACCATTTTTCATCCTAGTGCTCTCATGCAAAATGTTTTTGGCTTGTTTGCCTTCAAGTCTCACCAGAATCGCAGTTTTGCCATAGTTCACCTTCATTTTGAAGGCAAGAAGAGCCTCAAGGACAACAGTCATATTTGCAATGGCCGCATCCCAGTCTTCTTTATGTCTGATTACCCAATGGCACCAATGATCGTCAGCAAAGAGAACAAGCACACGTTGCAACCATTCCTCACCGAGTTTGTCAATGAGATGGTGCATCAGGGCTACCGTGTAGAAGGACCATAAGAAGGGTGCGATACAGCATCCTTGTTTCAGACCATTTGTCGTGATCTGACTGGCAACTTGATCCCCGGATCGGAAGACATATTGTGCATCTTTGTGTAATTGCTGAATGACGGTGATGGTGTCTTGCGGGACACCATGTTGGGCAAGTGTTGTGTAGACAATCGGGCGGTTGGTGAGATCATAGGCACGCGAGAGGTCAAGCGATAAGCTAAGTCCCCCCACACAGCCGTGTTTGCGTTTGCCAGCGTATTGCTGAAATCTGTCAACACGATTCTCTCTCAATATGGCACTGACCTCCTCAAAATGCAAATGAACCCTCAACAAGGCATCAAAAGTGCCCCTTTGTCTTGCATAAGCATACTGCGGGAGATTTTTGATTAAGGGGAGAAGGGTGTCAAGCAGGGATTGACGAACCAAGCCCGCGACTATCTTTTGGACATTGCAACCCAATCGGGCGTAGGTTTTCCACCGAAGTGGCAGGCTTACTAGGCTTGGGTATAAGGGTTATGTGGGCATCATGCAAATCCTTTTCAAGACAAGCGGGGCCTTCGGCGCGAAAATGTCGCCGGATGTGTGTGCCCAGCAGTGGAGCAATCGCCTCCGCACAAGTTTTCCATAAAGCTGCGGGAGCCATGCCGACAGGCGCAGCTTTGTACATGCCAAGTTTTGTCAGCTCGTTTCGGACCTCGGCATCTGTGCAGAGCCAGTCCTCCTGCATTGGCAGAATGACAGGTTCATCCGGCATGACACTGAACGTGTCCTTGGCATACTGAAGCATGGCCTGCAGTGCTGCTTCTTTGCCTAAGACGTGACCATCAGGATCACGAAGTCTGGACAGGAGTGTGGTGTTACGAGGTGCCAGGCTTCGCACGATCTGATGCAGAAGGCGTTGGTTGCCTTGCTGGGCTGCACATTCAGCTTCCTCAAGCTTTGCAAGCATGGTTGCCTTCTTGAGCTGTCGGCTCTGTGTGCGAAGTTGTCGCGATGCCTTGGCGAAGGCACAGGCTGCCCTCCACTTGAGGAATACCGCATGAGGAACCGCTACACTGGCAGCTTTAAGATCATGATAATGTCGCCAGGTTAGCTTGGCTGATGCACGAAAGGATGTCTGTGCACTGATACGGTTATCCGGTGGAGGACGGCTGGGAAAGTATTTGGCAGCTGCAGTGAGGAGAGTATCATTGATGCATCTTCTGGCCGAGGCTAGGTCTGAGGGTTGAGCAGCATCGAGCTGCTGGGCCACATCCTGCTGCAGGGCTCGGGCCTGCGCGGAGTCAGTGCTGAGTGCAAGTAGAAGGTCCGGTTTGCTGTATGCAAGAGCAGGAGTGCAGCCTGCTGTTGGCCGGCTTTTTGTGCTTGCTCAAAACTGTTTTACATTTATGTTCTAACGCATGATGATTCATCCTTGTTGCTCATCTAGCCGCGAAGCTGCTCGAGCAGAGAAAGGTCAAGAAAGGCATCATGCATGTCTGCGTGATTTTCTGGGTTGTCGTTGACGACTCATGTGTCTTGGTATCTTTACGTTAGACAGCAATTACTTTTACTTGCCATTGACACTGCTTAGTAGTGAGTTGGCTTCCTCAAGGGGGCGTCGCATGGCGGAGCCTTCGTCCGGTGCAGCAAGCCCGGCCAGTGATCCTCCGAGTTCGTCGGTTAGCACAGTATCAGTGATCTCTCGCCACGTGTTCGACTTGCAGATTCAGTTGAATCATTTGCGGGAGCAGAATCAGATCTTAACCGATACACAAGCTTATCTTGAGGAAAGGATCCAGTCACTTGAGTCCTCACGCGAGGTTTCAGAACGACGCCTTACTTGGTTGGAGCAGTTCATACAACATCTGCGCTCGATTTTTAGCCAGCTTCGAGACAACTTTTGATTTCATGGCACTTGTTTTGCTTGAAAAGGCGTTACAGGCTAGGCAACCTGCAGCTCCAGCTGCAAATGTCCTCGCAGTGCCAGCCGATTGCATTAGCAGGGAGCCTTCACAGGTGGCGGCTCCATTGCCAGTTGTGCCTGAATCACAGAGCAGTGTTACCACGCCTTGGGCTCGGCGTGCTGCTCGTCTTCTCAAGCGTGAAGCTTCTGCTCTTGAGGCTGTTTCCATAGCGGATTCAAATGAGGGCGCTCAGGACACCCTCGTGCCTGCTGCGGTACCAAGTGTGTCTTCATTTGATTTGGATTCCTTCGAGTGGGTCTTTTCTGATGAAGTGCTGCCACCTGAGCGCATTTTCCCCAGTAAGGGTTTATGGGTTTCGGATAAGCCTGCACCCCGTCCCGTGCTCATGCAACCCTTGAAGCGCACAAAGATTCCTGAGCCACCCCAGGCTGTACGTCCCACTAGTTTTGCATCCCCTCGACCGTGTATGCGGCCGACAATGTTGCATCACGTCAGTATGGAAGGCCTTGGGTTTAGCCCTGCCCCTCGTCCCACAATGCATGCATCCCCGACATCGAGGTCGTTGTTCCATCGCGAGCTTTCGGTTGCAGCAGATCCCCAGCCTCAGGGAAACACATTTGTCAGGCCGACATGTAAGCGCGCTCTTCGCCCGCCTCAGCAGCACTCATTTCTTGAGGTCCCAGCGGGACCTGCGGCATCAAGCAGTGGAAGCTTTCATGCAGGGACGAATTTTAGACCTACTAAGGGCAGTGGGACTGTGGAGTTTGCGGTGCAGCATGATGCCAAGAAGCTTCAGTTGGCTCAGGCTCTATGGTTGGAGCTCAAGCCGCTTTTGTTGGAACACTCTGATGTGCTGAGTCAGATGTCGTTCTCCACAAATGAGTTTGTGCTTATTGAAAAATTCTTCAACACCTTGGCCCCTTCCACACTCTTGCGGTACATGACGGCGGTCTTAGCGGTTTTTAGGACAGGTTTCGAGCTTGCTTTGCCAGCGATGGATCAGCTTAATCAGGCGCATTTGGTTGATATGCTTTGGGCGACCCACCGGGGGCACTCAGCGGCTGACTTTCAGCCCATCAACACCATCAAAGCCCTTCGCTGGTTCCGTCGCATGCTCAATCTGCCTCTTCCTGATCTTTATAATGGGCTCGTGGCCATGTTGCTGGCCCCTCGTGTTCAACCGCATAGAGAATCGTACCCGGCTCCTATCAGACTGCTGTCCTATTGCGAGGTGATGCTCTTGGAGGCTGAGATGTCTTTGCAAGACAGATGTCACGCGGGTGCTTTGCTCTTGTGTGCACACGCCTCCTTGAGGTGGTCGGATTCCCAGCGCATTCGCTGGTCATCTTTCGAAGTGTGTTCCGATTGCATTAGAGCCGAAGCCTATAAGACCAAAACCACGCGCAGAGGCATGCCTCTGGCAGCGGGGGTTATGGGGTTTCATGGTACTGCTGGTTTTTTGGAGTTCACTTGGGTAGCAGCTTGGCTAGTTGCACTTGGTGATGTATGGCATCGACTGCGCGTCATGCGTGGCGAGAGTATTGATCCGGACTGTGTTTGGTTTCGTTTTGACGAAGAGACAGGGGATTTCGCGCCCTTATCCTACGCACAGTCGCTGCGAGTGCTGCGCTCGTGGTGCGTGGCATCCGGTGCTTGCGCCACTGGGGCGGAGTCAGTCTTCACTTTGCACTCCTTGAAGTCGGCTTTGCTGTATCTGATGCACCTTCGTGCAGTGGGGAAGGAGGACAGGCTCTCAGCTGGGCATCATCGCCTCGACAGCGCTGCCTTGTATAGCAGATCAGACACCGTGGGGGCGCTCAGAGCTCAGGCTGTTGTCTGCACAGCAGTACGTGCCGGATGGCTCCCTCCCGCCCCGCAGAAGCGGGGGGGCAGCTCATTCGATTCCTCAGCAACCGTTGTGCACCTTACAAGCCGTCCCACCTTCCTTTGAGGTTCCGCCTATTTTCGGTCCAGTGCATGTTTCAGTACCTGAGCATGCAGCAGGCACGCATGTGCCCGCCGTGGCTGTCGAGCCTGCACTGGTTCCGCAGGCCGGGCTAGCCGCTGAGGCTTCGCAGGAGGATGATAATGCATTATCGACCGAGCATGCATTGGTGTCTTCAGATTCGGAATCAGCAGCAGAATCTTTGGGCGCTCCCGAGGAGTTTGGTTACTTGGTAAGCGGATCAGGCGTCATGCATGTGGCCATGCCTTCATCGCATGGCACTCCTTGCAAGGCAGGTCTCGTGCGTCCGGCATGTGGCACGTTGTGCAAGAATCTTAAGCTGTCCATGTCTTTCGCACCCGGGTCCAGGCTCTGCCGTCACCCAGCTTGCCATAAAATTTTTGCATCGGCCGGCTAACAAGCTGCTTCAGTTGTGCACACAGCGTTGCCCTGGGGTTTTTGGCTTCTTTCAGCTGGCTATGAGTTAAATTGGCTGCCAGAATCGGCTCAGTATCAGTGGTGGGGGCTCGGGCCCTGGACACCTTCGGGGCGGTATGCCCGTCTGCTAGCCTGTCGTGGGCTGTGGCATACAGCCGGTTGGGGGCATCGCCCTGGACACCGCGCTGGGGTTTCGGGTGGCTTTTCTGGTGGGGACTGAAGTCCTGGACACCAGTGGTGGGGACTGAAGTCCTGGACACCAGCCTCAGTTCAAAGATCATGTGTGCCGAATCGGAGTAACTCCTTGGTTGCGTGCTCATAAGGCGTTGCAACGCTTGTAGAGGGTAATTTTGTCGCAGCTTTGATCAATGGGCTATCGGACATGCCAAAAGAATGCGGTATGCATCGTGGTCGTTCTAGGCAGTCGATGTGTGTAGCTGCCATTTCTCACGCGGTAGGTGTCTCAGGTCAGTTGCATGTGCTGAAGTGCATGTTGTTCAATGGACACCAACAGGAAGGTTGTCGGCTCAGCTGGTCATGCTAGGACATGTCGTTTTTCTTTCAAGTCATGTCACGAATTCTTTTTGTATTACTGGTATGAGCGTACCGAGTGTATTGCATTCTGCTGCGATTATATGTACCGGTAGAGACACTCTCTAGGCAGGGTCATGGCGCTGTCAGAACCTAACCCCTTGTTGGCTCTCTCGGAGGAAGCCACTGAACAGGCGAGGCCGATGCGGGCCTTATTGGAAGGCTCGGGCATTCCGGAGTCTCTTTGGAAGGATGTGGCCGTGTTTGCCCCAGATGAGTTCGGGTCTCTTTCTGATGCAGAAATTCAGGAGTTCTTAGATGGCCTCACGTACCCAGCTGAGCCATCCGATCTGTTGGTGAAGGCCAGGATTCGCCTCTTGTGGCGGAAATGCCACAAGTCGGGGGCACCCTTGCAACCCGATCCTCCCAAGCCCAATCCCGTGGGGAGCACAGGTGCGCTTGCCGGAGGCATTCCCAAAGCGACTCAGTGGCGAGGCAGTCCGCCAAATGATTAAGGCTTTCAGTGAGAAGTATCCTTCTGAACCATTAAGCCCCGAGATAATGCCATCACCACGACTTTTGTCATTAGTTCATCAGCAATTGCAGGACAGGCGTTGGCGATGGATACCGTGGAAGTTGCGGTTGTCCGAAGAACAATATGACTCTAAGTCTCTTGAGCGTTCCCTTAAGGCACCACGGCTTGAAAATCTGTTATGGGAAGAGATACCCAGCAGAGAGTTGCCCACGCAGGGCATGGCCAAGAGTGTTATGGCAGAACTGCTTCATTTGCAGGCTGTGGCGATTGCGCTAGCAGACGGCGCCCACCTCTACACCCTGCGGGAGATGAACCGCAAATTTCTTGTCAAGTGTTTCGATCACTTACCTCGGGATGGGGGGTTGAGAGTGCCGAACAGACTGGAGGCCGAGAATGCAGAGAAACAGCTTTGGCAACAGATCGCGGTATTGTTCAATGAAGAGAATTGGACAATGGATCAGGCGATACGCGAGGTTGTCGTGGCTCGCAACGAGCTTCACGTTTTGCTCATGCCGAGGGCCGTCGCACCTAAAATTCCGTGGCAACCGTGGACACCGCATCGCATCAAAGGCGATGGCAAGCAGGGGACCCACGGCAAGGGCGGAAAAGGGGATAAGGGCACTAAGGGCGGTTCTAAGGATGGTAAAGGTCCCCAGCGTCACACCTTGATGATAAATGGCCTGAGAGTGGGTACCTCGTGGATGCAAGGTAAGAACAAACGCCTTCTGTGTTCCGGGTTTCAGCAGGGCAAGTGTACTCGCGATCAGTGCAAGTTCGAACATGTATGTGGTGTGATTTTGCCAAACAATCGCATGTGTCTCGGGGATCACAGTCCGGCAGAGCACAAGCAAACGCCCCACTGACAGGCGGGGTGCATGTCTCAGCCCCTGATGTCGCCCCAATCGGGCGTTGTTCTTGCGGACGCAGACATGTCGGTCTTACATGCGGCTGAGGCATGTGAACCCATGCACACTGGCCATACTGTTTGTTTTGAGCCACAATCTGATGCTGAGGAGTCCAATCTTGATTTCTCGGATTTTCCACAATGTGATTCGTCAGGTAGCGCCCTGGCCACGTTTTCTGAAGTCCCACCGGTGCCCGCAGCAGTGGATGCTCCGAGCTCTGTGTCGAATGCTGCATGCGCCGTAGTGGCAGACCCGTCGTCTGCCGTTTCAGCTGCATGTGACACAATCTTGAACATTTTGCAATCCGTGGAGTGGCCGCCGTGCCATACAGCAAGGGCTGTGTTGCAACCGCGTGAGAACGCTGGTACCGGCTACTGGAATTTTGGGGTTAGGCCCTCAGAACCCGCAGTTCTTACTTCTATCACCCAAGATAAACCCGACATAGTTCGCCGTCTGAACGCCTTGTTTAAGGTTCTTTGGCCAGATCAATTTTGGAATGCGATTTGTATAAATCTCAACCGCGTTGCTAGCCTTCACCAGGACTTAGCAAACAGTGAGGGCTCCATGAATTTGAATGTCTCCGTTGGGGACTTTCAGGGGGGTGCATTGTGGCTGGAGTCAGCAACAGGCACTTTGTGGCGCCAGCCACCAGGCAGCCAGCACTGGGTCAAGGGCGAAGAAGTTCAGACTTTTCGGAATCCCATTACTTTTCCAGCTTGTGCCTGGCATGAAACGATGCCATTTGTGGGTAATAGATGGTCCATCACTTGTTACACGTTGCCCCATGTGCCAGCGGGTACATTAGCCGAACTTGGTTTTCCGGAGGTATCTCCGGAGCAACTTCCTCGTGTATCGCAGACACAGGAGTCAGCTGCCGCATCCGCAGTTAATTCCAATGCGCCAATCTCAGCCTTGCCACCGGTGGTGGCCACACAGCAGCGCCCTCTTTTCTTCTTGGATCTTTTCGCTGGTGCAGGTGCACCACTTTGTCAGGAGGCCGCACGTCGGGGTTGGGCGTGTATTCCCATAGATATTCTACATAACAAGGCATCAGACTTACGCGATGATCGCATCTTCGATGGTCTCTTGAAGCTTTCCCACTCAGGTGCAGTAGCGTTTGCAAACGCATCCCCTCCTTGCTGCGAATACAGCATTGTGAAGCAGTTTGATGGCGGACCGCCACCCTGCCGATCATGGGAATGCTTGGCAGGCTTTCCCTCCAACAATGCCGAAGCCCAGGAGCGTGTTCAGTCCAGCCACCTTCTGTTATCTCGGGCAGTCATGCTCTTGCACGCTGTATTTCAGAGTGGCAATCACGTAAGCTTAGAACAACCTCGTAACTCTATGGCTTGGGCTGAGCCCGTGACTCAGGCTTTCCTGCTGGAAATTGCGGCGGATGTGATTCAGGTTGCAGCCTGCAGCTATGGTTCGAGCTATGCAAAGTACTGGGCCTTCGCCACAAGTTGGCGACCTTTACAGCAATTGCAAAGTACTTGCCAGCACGCTGCGGGTCATCATGATGTGTTTCACGGCAAACGTGACGCCACAGGCCAGTTCGTGTCTCGGCATACAGCGGTGTTCCCTCCCATGCTGTGCAATGCGTTCATGGAAGCCATTAGCCCGTTGTTCCCAGAGAACACACATGCTACCGACTTCACGTCATTGAATCAGGCACTTTCTGCATTGCCGGTTCGCCCCTTGAACGATTTCCCGACTGGCCAACAGGATGGCGGCGGCATTTACAGCCAGCCCGACTGGCTCTCCTCCGGCGGGGTCAAAGGATACCTTCCGCCAGTTGCGTCAAGATATGTGGGGGTTTTTCAAAGAGCATAAACTTTTTGATCGCCTTCGCAAACATGTCAGCGAGTCATCGCAAGAGCCTCTCATTCAGCAGCATGAGCTCCCAGCATTGCGAGCAATTTGGGAAGATTGGTTTAGAGCTCAGGGCTTCACGGATTCAGTTTCATGGGAGGTCGCGCCCGACCAGCCTTACTGTCTTCAGGCGCTTGAGTCGAGCTTCTGAGCAAGGCTCTTGACGACCGTGATGTGGAGCTTTGGAAGGACTTGCAGGCTGGGGTGCCAACGGGTGTTGATGGTGACATTTCTATGAGCAATTGTTTCTTGCCTACCCCAGCGCATTTCGATCCAGAAGATTTTGATGTGCAAGTGTGTTCGGGCAACTGGCCCGGGGCCAATGAGGAGCCAGAATTGCTGGCGGAACTTGTGCAAAAAGAGGTGGAAAAGGGCTACGTGCACGTCTTCGACTCTCTCGAAGAAGCCCAAGCCAAATGGCCCCGGGTCGCTGTAGGCAAAGTAAATGTAGTGAAAAGTGGTTCTAGAGATCCTCGCTTAATTGTCGACCCATCGGTTAGTGGGGTTAACCCTAGCTGCCACCTGCCTGAGCGATTTCTTCTCCCCGGTCTCGGTGACATCCGGGCAGTGTATCCCCTGAGGGGTGTGTCGGGCTGTATAGCCGCATGCACATTAGACATACAGGCCGCCCACAAAACCGTTCGGATTCGGGCGAGTGAACAAGGTTTACTTGGATTTTGTGTGAACGGCAAATACTATTTTTATAAAGTGGCACCATTTGGCGGTTCTTTTTCAGCGTTGTGGTGGCAACGCGTCGCGGGATTTATGTTCGCACCGGCCATCGCCTGATCTTCATCAGCCACGTCCTACTTATGTACGTGGACGACGCATTACTCCTTCAGCACAGTTCCGCCATCGAATTTTCCGCGCTCCTGATGGTGGCATTCTCACAATCATTTGGCTACCCGATCAGTTGGCGTAAGCTCCAGCTGGGGCCCAAGCTGGAATACATTGGGTGGCAGCTTAATTTCCGTGCAGGCACGTTTTGTCTGCCTGATCCTAAAGTGGCCAAACTTTTGCAAAGCCTGATGCAAGTGCTCCGGTCCGACCCTTGCACCAAGCGGGATTTGCAGGCTCTCATCGGTCTCCTTCACTGGATATTACAGATGTCGCCCGAGTTGCTACCGTGGCTGTGCTGCTTGTATCACGACATGTCTCGTCCCTTGGGCACAAATTTTTCCTTGCATGCAGGTGCCTGGCAACAGTTAGCAGATACCTTGACTGATGACTTGCATTTCCGCAAATCGCCACCAGGGTCGACCATCCCCCCGGGCAGCAAGTTGTTGAGTGCTCGACATGTGGAAATCAAGTGCAAAGCGGACTTGCGCTTGGTGAGGGCCACAGGCAAGCGTGTCTGGATTCGTGTGGCGGATGCGTCATCTAGCAAGCGTCGAATCAGCACGGTGAGCAGACAGTTTATCATGTTCTGGGTGCACTTTTGCATGCGGCCTCAGATGCCCCGCTGCTTGTCTTTGCCGCCTTTGGATTTTCAGTATTCATTAGCTGCTGACGCTTGTGCTAAGGGCAACGACATTGGGATTGGCGGATGGGTTGAATTGCCGAATCAGCCCATTGTTTGGTTTTCCGAATGGTTTACGGTCCAAGATTTCCGTTCGCTGGGGTTGCCCATGAAAGATGATGCTAATTTGGATATTACAGCGTATGAGACGCTGGCACAACTGGCTCTCTTGATCGCTTTCATTTCCATCACTCCTACTGGGCGACTTCGGGTGTGCATCCCATCTTGGTCGGATAATTCGGGGACCGAGTCCTTGACGAACAAGCTTTTCACAGTACATACACCGCTGTGTTTCTTTGCTCAGAAACTGGCTACGCGGAGTTGGCAGTCTGGAATCTCTCTCGATTGTACACACATCGCGGGATGTCACAATGATAGAGCTGATTTCTTGAGCAGGTGGAAAGGCGACTTGCAGGAACTTCCTTCCCGGTTCACCTTGGATCACCGGGTTCGATGCCCGATCACAGTCTTGTGGGAGGGCGAGCGAGATGTTCGAGTTTTCCCGCCACATGCTAACTTGCTTTGGCAGCCGCCTGTATCTTCCTTCAATGCACACAGCGTGTAAGCACTCGGCATCGGGCAGGTTCAACATCTCACGGTGCGCGGTCGGCCTGGCCTTCCCCCGTGGGCTCTTGGGGTTCCTGCAACACCGGTGTTGATGTGCATCATCGTCGGGGTTCGACACTCACGGCGCGCGGTCGGCTTGCCTTCCCCCGTGAGCACATGCGTTCCCCTGAGGGCGGTGTTGTGAGATGCAGAACATGCATCAGTGAATGCGACAGGCATGAGTTGCAGGCAACTAGGTGCACTGATTGCATACGCAGGGCGTCACTGCTCGTTGAGTACTTATGCTTCTCATATATCTTGTTTTATCTTCAACCGTATGCGGTGACGCTTCTTTGGGCGGAATGCCCACTAAGGTTCTGTCGGCCTCACGTTTCGGTAGTGGGAGTGCTGTGCTTGCGAGTCCGACCTCTCCTTTGTGGCAGTTTACGGTTCTGGTGTTCGTACACATTCTTGCATCTGCATTTGACATTATGCTGCTGCACGAAGTGTCTTACCGCCAAAAAGGAGAGGATCGAACTGCAACGTGATACACGTGATGTGAATATGTTTATATATGAATTATAGAAATTTGTGAGAGTAGACTTTGCGGCTAGATGGAAATGTAGAACGCTTTTTGTGCTTGCTCAAAACTGTTTTACATTTATGTTCTAACGCATGATGATTCATCCTTGTTGCTCATCTAGCCGCGAAGCTGCTCGAGCAGAGAAAGGTCAAGAAAGGCCCCGCCCGCCCGCCCTGTGTGGTGTGGCATTAGCTTTGTGCATACCTTACGGTGCATAGTCAAGACATCGGTGCATTGTACATTCTCTGTACATTGAAGTGCGGACATTGAATGCATACGACTTCCGGCGTACATCCTGTGGTATCTTTGACTATCTCAATACTTGTTTTATGGTCTTTGCATTTGGTACTCTTACACTTCTGCAGCCGGTGTTCGTACACATTCTTGCATCTGCATTTGACATTATGCTGCTGCACGAAGTGTCTTACCGCCAAAAAGGAGAGGATCGAACTGCAACGTGATACACGTGATGTGTATATGTTTATATATGAATTATAGAAATTTGTGAGAGTAGACTTTGCGGCTAGATGGAAATGTAGAACTCTGTTGAACGGCACGACAGCAATGGCAGCTTCGATTGGCCAGTGGCCTGCATTCGAATGGGCTTTTACAGGGAAGGCATAGTTGGGTGCAGCATGCCGGGCAGAGCCTTTGGCATCACTCAGCTTGGTCATCACAAAATCAATGCGGGTTCGGCAGGTGGATGTCTCATACGTGTGCCCTGGCTTGCTGTGCCAAGAGTTCAGAACACACAGCTCATGTTGCTCCACCAATCATCACTAATCTATGCAGCGCTTTGTCACCTGATTGGCCGGCGGTCAAATGGGAGGTGCCAATGTAGGGCCTCTTTGCAGCCAGCTGGGCATTGAAGTCGCCTCCAAGCAGAAGTGGATTGCGGCTGGGCAGTCGCTGCAGTACACCCGAAAGTTTCTGCAACACTTCTTGACGATACTGCGTGTTCTGCTCCGACGACAGGTGGGTGCGCTGCACATGTTGATATATACCAAGGATGTCCAGGCTGAGCTGACTTTGCTTATGCACGGCCCTAGTGTGAAGCAGTCGACCGGGGCAGAGCTCTTCCACAACTGGGTCTTGAAAGGTGGCTTGATTTAGCATGATAAGGATACCAGCATACCTATCAGGGCCAAGTTTGGATTCGTATGAGTGCAAAGCCACCTCCCGCTCCGAAAGTCACTGCACATCTGCCAATGTGTTTCTTGGACAATCACAGCATCAAATCTGTTTTGTGTATCAAGCCAAGCCACTAGTTCTTGAAAACTCGGTCCCGACAATCCCCCTGCATTCCAGCAAAGTAGCTTAATCATGGGATGTCTAGTCGGTCTCGTGGCCCTAGGAGTTCTGTACAATTGAAGGGCAAATGAGGTTTCAGATTTACAGGTGGATGCTTGCAGGGAGGTTGAGGTATGCCACTGCCCTCGATACCAGGTCCCGCCTGCAAGCGACTTGGCAGCTCGATTCCTTGCACGACGGAATGCTCTCTTGGTGGCTTTGGGAATCAAGGATCCTATATTGAGGCCGTCTCTGGGCGCACTGCCGTGCAGCTTCCCCCGATCGGATGACCGAGGTCCCCCACCTACCACGGCATTAGGTGGAACCCTCGCTCCAGCTGCAGAAGATAGCTGAGTCAGGCTGATGATTGCTAATCTGCAGCCAGCGGACTTGGGACCGCTGCAGCCACTACCTGACAGTGAGTTTCGTTCATGGTTCATGGGGTGCTTATGGGGATTACCGGTACTATGGCCTTGGTGGCACTTCCTCTGCGGAGCAGGCTTCGTGTCGGCACTTGGTGCACATGCCGTGCTCCATGCAGAACGCCTGGGGCATATGGGGCCAGGGTTCTGAGGGTGCATAGGGGTAGTAGGGTGATGGGCTTTAATCAGTCTCGGCGTCCTACGGGAATTTCCGGAACCACACAAGGGCTTACAAGGACTAGACCCCCAAAAGGGATGTGGCGGAACTAGGCGCAGGTGCCTTCGGAATCGTCTGGCTCGCAAGAGCGGTGCTCGGTACGGAGCTGGTGTGCCATACCAGGGAGGTTCATTCTTCTCTGGGTGCATGTCCTTCCTCAGCATCGAAGGCCCTCTAGTCCAGTAGACGAGATCCAGTGAGGATGCGTTCAGCCATGTACTTGGTGGCTGTCCAATCGCGTGCTGCCAGATGCCGTCTCGTCCAGCCAACTCGTGCTCCCAGGGTGCGATTGGTGGCTCCATGCATGGTGGCCAAAAGCTCCCGACGATGGAGGTTGACCAGAAAGTCCTTGGCTCGTTCCAAAATAGGTCCTTGTAGCACCAAGGACACAACACTTGGAACTTCCGTGGAAGAGGAGTCTTCGCTGCTGGGGTCTTCGATGTCGTCCGAGTCCACATCCATCCGCAATGGTGAAGGGTGTCTGCCATAGACTCGGAATGCCGGGCCCACAGCCTGTGGCTGAGGCGGAGGTGGCCCCCTCGGTGCATCTGGTGCTCCTGGTTGCAGTCGTCGACGGCGAACTCGGTGCCCGCGATCAACATCATCATTAGCATCGCCCACATCTTCAATCGGATCACTCGCAGCAGATGACTGTGCAGCTGGCTTCCGCATCTGTACTCCATGAGGGCCCATCCAATGGCTAAGCCAAGACCCCACCACAACGCCCCGAACAACACACCAAACAACGCACCGGCCACAAAGCCCCGAACCAGAGCCCTCTACGGGGCACCACTCACAGTCTCGGGCCGTGGAGCTTCGTCACTGTCACCGTCGTCGTCAGCATCGTCATTCACACCAGCAGGATACAAGAACTCTCTGCTGGGTGTCCCCAATGAAGACCGGCTTCGCAAAGCAACTCAAGCGCGCTTTCCTTCTCCACTCTCACATTGTCTCGTATGCCGTTGCAACAGCTATTGATCGGCGCTGGCAACATTGCAGGCCCTGTGGCTTTCACCACCTTTTTCGTGGAACGCACTGTCTTTCTGTGTTTGCATCTTCTAAGTTGTTCTCCCTTTTTTCTCTCCTCTCCTCCTCTCCTCTCCTCTCCTCTCCTCTGCTCTCCTCTCGCCTCTCTCTCTCTCTCTCTCTCTCTCTCTCTCTCTCTCTCTCTCTCTCTCTCTCTCCTCTCTCTCCTCTCTCTCTCTCTCTCTCTCTCTCTCTCTCTCTCTCTCTCTCTCTCTCTCTCTCTCTCTCTCTCTCTCTCTCTCTCTCTCTCTCTCTCTCTCTCTCCTCTCTCTCTCTCTCTCTCTCTCTCTCTCTCTCTCTCTCTCTCTCTCTCTCTCTCTCTCTCTCTCTCCCTCCTCTCTCTCTCTCTCTCTCTCTCTCTCTCTCTCTCTCTCTCTCTCTCTCTCTCTCTCTCTCTCTCTCTCTCTCTCTCTCTCTCTCTCTCTCTGTCTCGGGAGTCCGCGCGGTTTTTGCAGTCACGGATTGTGGAGAGCAAAACAACGTTGTGCTTCATTAGTTTTGGATGGCTATTGGGTTGATGTTCTTGCAGAGTGGAACATGTTGTGCATTTTGAAGCTGATGTTTGGTTGCTGGGCGCCTTTGTGTTTTGAGCGGAAAACACATGCAACCGACAAGCTTCGTTTCGCTCGCGTTAGACTTGGCTCGATCTTTCTAAATCGCTCAGAAGCAAGATTGTGTTTGTTCTTCTTTCAGTTCGGCGTGTCGGAGCATCCTATGTTTCTATGTGCAAACCAGAATCATTACGCAAGCGTGTCGAAGCATTCCGGGCCAACCTCGGTTCCAACATACCGGTCCCAGATGAGTCGAAGCTTTGATAGTGATAGTGGTTGACCAAAATCGTGGTAGTGCAGAGCTTCAGCCGCTACAACAGCGTCAACATGCAAGGGCATCTGAGCAATGGGTTTACAAAGGACAAAAGCAATCAGCCGGTGTTAGATGTGGCACATGGCCGAAGACGAAGAGCGCCCTGAGAAGCGTCAACGTCTGACCCCCAACGACTGGGAGTCAAAAATCCTTGGTTCTGGCGACTACAGCGAAGTTCTTCCTCGCAATGAAGTGCCATTTGTGAACAGACACAGCGAGCTCTTCGACTTTTTCCATGTGAACGCGGCTGTTATTCTCAAATTACTTGATTGTCGGCGCAAGGAAGTGACATTGATGATTGGCGGCTATGCAGCGTGGCTGTAGCTGCGCAGATGTTTGGCAGTGGAAAAACCACCCTTGGGCGCAACTTTATCACGCAGCTGAAGGACTCAGGGTTCCGAGGAGAAAAACTGGGGTGCTGCCTGGCAGCAAGAACTGACACAGGCACAGAGTGCTGCTATGCAACATTTTGATTTGCGGAGCTGCACAACTCTGAGCCACGTCGTTTACAAGCTTTATGGCCGCACGGAAGGAGGACCAGAAACTGTCAAGATTGCCGAGTGGATTTTTAATAAAGTTGTGGAGTGCAACACTCCGCTGTTTGTCCATTTCGATGAGGTCGGCTCCCTTGGAGCAAATGTCAGAGATTTGCGTGATGCTGTGCAGCAGACTTGGCATCCCATGCTTCAGTGTGGAGGCGACATGCCTCGGATCTACTTCTGTTTGAGTGGCAAGAGTGTTCCATTGACTGCGGTTGGTGGACCTGCCTCTGGAGTTGGAACGAAATGGATCATTCTGGATCTGCTGCAGGAGCTGATGAATCTTGACATGTTTCAAAGCCTTGCTTCGAGGTTCTGAAGTCACTTTCAGCGCGGTTGCTCTTCGTGGAACGCACTGTCTTTTAAGTTGTTTTGACCAAGTTTCAATCCTATGTCTAGAGAAGCCTTGCAGGAGCAACACATCAAGTACATCATTGAGACATCGACGCAAAGCGATCCGCTTCTGCTCTTGCCTTTCCTGGCCAAGCTACCGCAGCTACCACAGGTTTTGCAGCTGTGAACAGGAGGCAGTCCGCGACTCTTGGTCTACAGTTTGCGAGCTCTACACCATTTGCTTAAAGACCAAGAAGGCAGAGACGCTGAGCACTTTGATGCGGAGAAGACCATGGAAGAAGTCTACCGCATCCTGTCCAATGAAGTGCCACAAGTGGCGAGCGAGATATTTTTGGCTAGCAGAGATGAGGCTGAGTGGCGCCAGACATGGCTTTACTTGATCCTGTTGGCCCAGCTGCGTGTACCTTGCCACCGTGAGATGACCCTCATGAACACCCGCTGAAGCAGGGTTTGCCTACCCTGCTTCAGGTCCGCGGATCTTCGCCATTGGTTAAGACTTCTGCTGTTTGCCATCATCTCCGGCCTGCCGCCTGTGCAGAGCTTGGAACAGATTTGCCGTCAAATCCGTTAAATTTGTTAAATTGACTTTTCTGCTGTAGGAACTTGAGATTTAACTGGTTTGAAAGATTTGATGGGTTGACTTGGCTCAAAGTTGACAAGATAAGTGAAGGCGACAACATCTTCAGACACTGCCCAGGGCACTCCTTAGGTTTGTTTCTGGCAGACTTGCCCTCCCTGCAACGATCCACTGTCGTTTGGGTGCGTGAACTGACGAGCTGGCGTGCTGCAGTTGGCTCAAGCTAACAGCTTTAAAACACTGCGTGCAGTGAGAATGGAGCTGTGTGGTTCAATGGGTGAAACGGTTCATGCATGAACACCTATGCAAAGTCTCAAAGTGTTATCTATAGACATGCAAGCATTGACTTGGTAAACCAATAGAATGGATGCCTTGGAATGGGCCAGGTGACTTCTGTCTGTGAACGCCGACACAGCCGGCGACTCCTTCCAATTGAGGAAACTTGCGGCAGCTTTGCCGTTAGCCGGACAAGTGGTGGTCACAGCATCCTTGACTCGGAGAGATTTGAGCAGAGCCTGTGCAATGTGCTCGTTCAACACGGGCTCCGGGTCAGGAGCAACATTTACTACAACGAGAGTCTGGAGATACTCGAAGACTCGACAGCTTTGCACGATGCGCACATTTTCGTTCTCCAGGTCCAGCGGCAAGGTCTCAAACATGTGGAAGGGGTGCGCGAGACAAGTGGAACGTGCACAAAGGTGCTTTGGACAACGCCAGGCTGAGAGCATATAGCAGGGCTGTGGACAGTTGGTTCAATGGCGACAAAGAGAACCCACCCCCAGCACTGGGGTTGACAGGGGAAGTCCTTTATGAGGTGGACATGAAGTCAGAGCCAGCAGGGCCAGCCGTGGAACACGACCTTCCTGAAGTAGCAGTCCGTCTGGGTGGGAATCAAGTCATCACGCTTCAGCGCTTCATCCAGGAAAGGCTTCATACGCCTGCCCTGATTGAAATTACTATAGAAGCTGTTTTGTCGGACAGAAAGAAGCGACAGATCAAAAAACACTGTGAGCTTGCAAAACATCTGGGGTGCACACCAGTCCTTTTCTTCAACGGAATGGAGGATGCCAAGATTACCGTTGATGTGGAGACCCTCCCAGTGTGGATTTCCCGCGAAAACGTTGAACATTTTGCCTTCCGACAGGAACAGAAGAAAGCGGAGAAGCTGCAGGTGGCACTGCAACAGCTTCAAGGCTGGGTATCAAACCGATTGGACCAAGAATCAAAAGCAACACTCGTTTCTGATTTTCCATTTCCAAGAAGCCAGCGTGTGATGTTTCGTTAAATTCCCTGAGCGCGCACACATGAAACTGAGGCCTGCGTGTTCAGAAGAGCGTTCGTGCCTGTTGCATTCTGCGCAGACTGCACATGTGAAGAATGGAACACAGGTAGTTCCTCATTTTACTTCTCTAGTGCACTGGCTTCTGTGGATTTTGATTGTGAGAATGAGATTGCACATCACCTGCGAGGCAGTGCCCCAGCGCAACCGACAGTCATTTGGGCCTGTCAACTTCGCAAGGACGACGACTTCGATGAAGCCTTCATGTTCATATGCAAGTGCTTCTGTCCACGTGTGGGGTTTCCATTATGGTCTCTTGTAAATGCCCCGTCCCAACACGGCATCTAAGATTTGCAGTCTTTGTTGCACTCCTTGCGTCTAGCATTTCTCAGCTTCGCCGGGCATAGGTTGATTGGATGCAATTGGCATTGAACTGGATTGTAGCGCGTTTGTTCTGCGAGGACGGGTCTACGATTGAGGTCGTCGGCAGTGCCTTTAAAGTCAGAGGGGCCATTGCAGATGCGGCGGTCTCAGCTGCGCGACTTTCTGAGGGTTCTGCAATTGTCTTCGCGAGTTTCTGAGTGCGGTTCTGTGTTGTGAGTTTATGAACGGTTCTCCTCGCTTTTGGTGAGCGATGTCAGGTGGATGACCTCAAGAAGGCCATGTCCTTGGAACTTGCGCTTGGATTTAGCCCGTCCTGTCTTCGGAGTTGTTTGCAGAAGGACGATGACAAAGATTGAAGTTTAGAGTGTCCATGTTTGCACCTCTTGCAACTCGCAACCCATGAAATCAGGCAATCAAAGCGGAGAAGCCAAACCGAGTCATGTGCGACGCAGATGAAATTGACATCTACAGCCGGAAGGAGAGCTTTTTACGTCAAACTCTCCCACCTGGCCCTCCCTGTGCCGCGTCTCAGCTTGACTTTGCAGGACGAGAACTGGGTGAAGGAAGACGAAGACAATGAAGTCAATCGCGGCACATCCAAGCCCAGCACTTGGTTTCGATGCCTTTTCAGCTTAGGGGTTTTGCCGTCGCCCCGCTCGCAGGGCAGATTGCTACGGTTATGACATAGGAAGACTCTAGGTGGGGTGGTTTCCAGATTATTTTCTAATTCAGTTTTGCATCCATCATGCGTGCGTGAATGGGTTTTATTTTCCGCCGAAAGTGTAGACAAAGTTTGTCGAAAAAGGAAAACAGTGTTTTCACTTGTGTGTGAGTGACACTAGACAAGCTTTGCCGTGCAGCTTTCGGCTTGAAGTTGGATCTGTGATCCAAAAAGTTTTTATAGAGTAGCTTGTAGTGCTCCGCAGCAGTGGGAGTCGTCAGCGACGACTTTCCACTCCCTTTGATATAACTGTCAGTGCCAGTTATGGTTGACCAAGCAGCCCGCACGTATGCGGCTGAGTCGCCAGAGGCGCCGTACCCTAGAAGGGACGGTCGAGAAAATCAGTTGGCAGCGCCGCAATGCCTGCAACGCGTGCGACAGTGTCGCTCCTGCCTCCGCTTTTTGCAGTGCAATCCAATATTTGTGCTAGAGCAGGCCATGCGTGAAGAAATGGCACAACAGGAGATAAGTTATCTCCTTTGGGCCATTAGCTGTGCCATGCGGGTAGACCCCGCGGTCGTCAGCGACGACCACGAATCCCTGAATCGAGCAGGGGAAGGGGAGTCCAAAGTTTGGCCCCCCTTCTACCCTTTTGCGCAGATGCAGGGGGAACAACCGGACACCTCAGGCAGTGCCTATCCGATGCACCGGTATACTATGTCGCAGCGCGACGTGCCTATGCGGCCAGCGGCCACGCCTGGCTGGCCGTATACCGGCCTTTTTGACTGGCCCCCCAGTGGGGAGGAAGACAATGTCCCCAAGCTCCAGTGGAGACTCAATTGGGTGGACGCCCTAGAGGGCCACGTGGCTACTAAGGTGGAAGCCAGCGGCTTCCAATGGCACCCAGAGGGTAAGGGCAAAGGCAAGGGTGGTTGGGTCAAGATTCTCCCTTCGGAGAAGAAAAAGAAAAAGACTCACAAAGCTGCCAGCGGCAGTACTGACCCCACCGCCTCGTCCAGCACTGCTCTGCCGACAGCGTCGGCATCAGCCTCGGACCCTCCCTTGCCGCCGCCAGCGGCCGCTCCTGCTAAGCCTGTTTCGGCCACAACAGGCAGCCCGCCCGCAGCCGAAGCTGCCGACGTCGCCCCGCCAGCGGCGGAGCCAGCCATTGAAGTTATTGACACTGACAGTGATCAGAACTCGGGAGACTCCGAGGTATCCTTGGCTAGCAGCCAGGCCGCAACGGCAGTGCCGTTCGCGCCGAACGCGAACACTGTGGTCGTGTCCAGACCGCAGCGTCGCAATCGCCAGCGAGGCTGGCAGTTTCAGCCTGGGGAGGACCCCCAAAATAACGATTGGCGTAACCTTGGGTCAGCGACCGACAACAGGTACCCCGGCCTGCGTGCGCTAGTAGCGCACGCCAAAAGGGTCTCGCCGCACCTGCACGTCACAGACGTGCACGAATGGCCCTACTGGGCAGCCCCCAACTCAGAGAGATGGGAGAGATACCCGGAGAGGCGCGGCGACCTCATGTGTTGCATGCCTTGCGCGCAGCAGGGCTGCATCTCCCAGGGCATGGCGATTTGTGGGCGGCACTGCTCAGTGGGCAGGAGCCCCCACAATCATCACGAATGCGACAACTGCTATCGCAGCAGCCGGGGTCAGCGACCCCGAAACCGCGGCGTCAGGGGCGGCCGCCGTTAGGCATGAGTGCAGCGCGTAGCTGCTGGCCTCTCAGCGAGTCGCCCCCCGTCGGTGCAGCGCACCTCTTTTTGGTTCACCGCCGACAGCTCGGCAGCCTCTGCAGGGCGGGCGTCTCCGAGGTACTTGGAACCTCGCCCACAGCGGCGGGCCGACGGCATGCTTTGAATGGCGGCAAAAGATCGCCGCTAGTCTTTTTCAGTCGTGTGTCACGCGAGCCTGGTAGGTCTCCTCAGCTGTGTCAGCTTCTTAAACCGTGTCGGTTTTCAAGCAGTGCTTTCATACCGCAGCCTTTTCAGCTTAGTAAGTCGCCCCCCGTGCCCAAAACAACCCCGCTTTCAGCGGAAGCCTCTGCCTGCTATCAGCGATGGCGAACCCGACCAATGAGCAGATGCTGCAGGCGCTCAGCGCAGTGCCGGAGGCCCAGAGGGCCGCCCTCTACGAAGCCGCCGTCTCCCTATCAGAGATAGGGGACGTGGTGGTGAATGCGGCAGAGGCAGCGGAACTCGCTGGTTGGACGAAGCCCGCCAGCGGCGGCACAGAAGCCAATGCAGTCGCGCTTCAGCGACTTTTGCTCGGCTACGAGCCCCCAGTGGTGCCGGCAAACACCGAGCCACCAGTGGCGGCACGTGGTGTCTCCTCCGACGGCCACCGCAGCGCGGTGGCCAGTTTGCCTCTTACGACGGCTGCAGCGCAGGCCTCGCAACAACGCTCCCCGACCAGTCCCGCTGAGGAAGCGGGTTCTGGCATCAAAGAAGAACCGCTTCCAGCGGAAGCTCCCTCGGCAGCGCCGGAGGGTTTGGACGTGGAGGAGCCCAGCGGGCGGCGGGCTGAAACCGAAGATGACCTCGGAGGAGTCGGAGTCAGAGAGCGACTCCCCGCCACCGCCAACGCAACCGCACCCTCCCCTTGAGGGCAAGGTGGCGCGCAAGTCCTCGAGCCCGGCAGTGCCGGCAGTCGAGAGGAACCAGGCGCCAGCGGCGCCTGCGAAGGCCGCCGCCCCACGCCACAACAAGCGGCCTCCCCCACCGCCAGTGGCACGTCGTGGGGAGAGCTCTCGCCCGCGTCCCTGCCAGCAGGCCCCGCGCAACAACCCTGCTGGCGTCGCTGGGACCCGGGCCAGCGGCCCGGCAACAGACGACCACCCTGATCGAGACGATCAGGAAGAGCGTCCGCCAGCGGCGGAGCTGCAGCGAGTCTTTGCATGTTCAGTCTGCGACAACATGCAGATGAACATCTGGAACGACCCGTCGTCGGAATTCGTGTGCAGTGCATGCGGCGAGCATCACGCTTTCAGGGCAGCAGTGCACGCCTATGATCAGCCCAGCGCCAGTGGCGCTGTGGGGCAATTTACCCACGATCGTCGCAGCAAGGCCTGGCAGTGTCCAGAATGCGGCGTGATGCATTGCACACGCTGCGCAAAGCACTACTCTTGCCCAGGCACTGTCCCGCGGACAGACGGCAAGCTCGAGTACACCGGCGAGCGCCGCCCTACTAGGGGGCCGCCCGAGTCCCTTCGGTTGACCTTGCAGCGCGAGGCAGCCGAAGCCCGTGAGCGCGAGCACCGCGAACGGGAGGCCCGCCGCAGAGACGGCAAGGGCAAGGGCAAAGGCAAGGACCAGAGGTCCCGCCGTGACGACGAGGACCGGGACCAGTGGTCCCGTGGTCGCTGGTCTTGGGACCAAGACCGGCGCTGGAACTACCGTGACTGGTAGAGACGCCAGCGGCGTGCACCAGTGCCTCCCGAACAGTGTTCGGACACAGTTTTGAAGGGCCAGTGGCCCTTTCGTCTGCGCCCGTCTCACACAGGTGCAGAGCACAGTAGTGCCGGCACAGTCCGGCCACAGGAGCCTCCGCTGCCCACCGGCCTGTCTGCGGATCGCAGAAGGCAGGTGCAGCGCACCTTCACAAGCGGGCTCAGCCCAGACACTCGCACCGCGAGGTCGGAAAAAAGAACACCGCAGGTTGCGTGTGCACACAGACCTTGTAGGGCTGCAGTTTCTTTTGCCTAGTAGGTTTCAACGCAGTTTTCCCAGACCTGGTAGGTCCTCTGGAGGTAGCTCTAGGTGCAGTGCCACCAGCGGGGCCTCGAGTTCTCCAGTGCGTGATTGCCGCAGCCTTTTAAGCCTCACTTCCTTCCCAGCTCTCTCTTCCTCCTCTCCTCCCTCAGGACTGCCCGGGGAGGTGCGGGTCGCAGCGCGTCGCTTGAGTTGAGCTTTCCAGAGTGAGTGCGCTTGTGTTCGTGTGCTGGTAGCCCTTTCCTGCAAGCCGCCTGGACAACAGCCGTTGGCTTGAGCAGTGCTCCTCTTCCTTGTGTCAAGGATGCTGCCCAGGGGCAGCGCCGCGGAGGGCGACTTCAACGACCAGGTTAGTAACCTCTGGTCGTCAATACCACGCCGAGCCGGTGCTCGTCAGCCGTGGGAATCAGCCTCATGGTTTGCGCGCAATGCGAGCTGGCCCTGGGAGCTGTCAGTGACTCGCCCCGCTTCTGTGGGCCCCGTGCCAGTGCTACACGAGTCCAGCCTGATGCTCAAGCGGAAAGCTTCCGCTAGCACACAGCCGCTAGCAGCGGAAGACACGGCCTTCGCACTTAAGGTCTGCTCCCGTCGTACAGCGTACGAAGGCGACCGCCGCGACAGCGCGGTTTTCAAACTTACGGCCTTAGTAAAAGCATGGCCAGAGGCCTTCGAGATCGTCTCACAGTGTGCCGACGAGGCTGGTTGCGTCGACCTGGACGAGCTCGACTTCAGCATAGAGGCAGCGCTCAGCTACAAGGCAACCAACACAGTTGTACGCCGCCTCAACTCTCTCAGCAATTTTGTCCAGTGGGCAAACACGCAAGACCCAGTGGTGGTGCCCTTCCCAGTGTCCGAGCGCGCCACTTGGCGCTACATCCAGTGGATGATGCGAAATGGGAAAGGGGCTAGCAGCCCCTCGAGCTTGATTCAGAGTCTGAACTGGTGCTCGGGAGTCTTCGGTCTGTCCTTCGAGTCGGAGGTGACCAGCTCCCGTATCGTGGGCCTTTGTAAAAGCACGGAAGCCAGCGCGCCTCCGCCGAAACGGGCCCCTGCCCTTAAGGCCTCAGAGGTGGCCACTCTAGAGCGCATCGCGCTGTCTGGCTCTGTGTACGACAGTGTCGTGTCTGGGGGCTTGTTGTTCATGCTCTTTGCATGCGCCCGCGCCAGTGACGCGGCCCGAGTTGCCTCTTTCTCCGTCGA